TGAATGGTTTTAGTAGCATCCCGAAAAGTATTTCGCAAATAAATATGTATTATTAAGAAAAGAATTTGCGAAAAATGCGCTCTTATATTTATGGAAAAGCGGGGTGTTACAAATGAAAAACTATACCAAAAAAAAACAATAATAATAATAAAAAAAAATAAAAAAATAGACAAAGCAAAAAAAAAGCTGATGACAAACACATGGTTATAAAAAATGAATTCACAATTATACTAAACTTACTGAGCGTTAACCAGATAAGCTTTAAATGAGTTCGAGCTTGTTTTGTGAAGGTCTTTGAGCTCGAGTCAAACTCGAGCCTTAACGAGCTGAACCAGACTCGTTTAACTTAACAACACTAGGTCGTGTACTACATGAGTATTTAATAAAATAATTAATGTACAACAAAAAATTAAAGAAAAATATTTATATATTTTGCGGAAGTTGGAAAAAAATAAATAAGGAAAAATATATAATAATTTACAATAAATAATATGTAATAATTTACAATATATTTACAATATATGTAATACGGAATAATATGTAATAATTTACAATATATTTTGTCAGTGTTGTAATATAGATGGACAATATGTAAAATCTATGTGTAAAATAGACAAAGATAGAAAAAGTAGAAGAAGAAGAGAATAAGAGAGAAGAGATACGCCGTCAAAACCCTCATCTTATTCATTCACTTGAGCCCTATATATAAGGGAATACAATATACATGACTAAAGACCTAATGGACTCCTGGCCCATACCTACAAAGCTTATATCTAGGTAATGTCCACAAATTAATATTTACAACACTCCCCCTTGGACATTACCGCATCATGTCTATGCCTCGTTAAAAACCTCGCCGCAAAACTCTGTAAGAAAAAAAAACAGTCGAGGAAAAGAGTACATAACATATGCAAATTTATGTGTTACACATGCTGCCTCGTTAAAAACCTCACTAAGTAAAACCCAATGGGAAAAAAACTTAGTCAAGGGAAAAAGAGTACAACGCCGGCCAACAGGGCCTAATTTTCAGGATTATAATTAACCTTCTGGGCTCGATCTTCGAGATTTATTTATCGCTCCCCCTGAAGGGAAAACCTGTATAGTTACATTCATAATTGTATGTTGCTCCCCCTCAAGGCAAGAGTTTCTAACATAAAATCGTCATTTGTTGTTCTTCCGGAGTTAATATAGATTCAAAAAATATGATCAAATGTATTTTATAATTTATTTGTGTAACACAAACCAAGTTATCTTCTGGATAAATATAGGGAAATTTCAATAACCAATGGTGAAAAGTTAATACCATTTGAGAAGTATATAACCAACTGAGGACCCATTCATACAAGGTACGATGTAATTGTCTCGACTTACACTTCTATGACTGAACTTCGCTTCGTTCGTTGGGTGGGGAGTTTTGACGAAACCGGATTCGTTGTGGGTTCGTATCTTAAAGGCTTCGGGGATCAATTATACAATTGATGTCCTTATCCACCAATATCATATATCAAGTCCAAAGATAACTTAACATACATGAAGAATAATGGGATATTCTCAATATTTATCACGATATCTCTCTAAGGAGAGATTTAGTAAATCTTGCCATCAAATTCATCACAAATTCAGTATCAGGCCTGATGCAGTTTGCGAGATAAAAGTTTAGCACAATTGCGCTTAATAAATAAACTTCATGTCGTTTGTGGACTTCATGTCCATTTGGAACTCCAGGTCCTATAATATCCTCATTTGTTTTTTTGGATCTTTGTTAAATGCCAAATATTTGACACTCATTGGTGTTACAATTTTACATCTCTAAAAGAGATTCAAGTAGATTGGTTGGGTCAAAAATATTCCTTCTAGGAGATGCTCGATCTACAAGTCGAGATAATACTTATTGGTATTTAACCAAAAGTTTCATCCTTACTCCGTCTATAAGCATGAGCTAACTTATTTAATATTTTACATAGTGTTCACCACATAATCTATTTGGCTGAGATGATAATTTTGTATAGCATTATACACAAGGTTCTACCTTGAATTTCTTATTTTACTTCTTCAGGAAGAATTTAGTTGGTTGTACCACATCTCACCAACAACTTTAAATAATGAAAATATTTATCATTTAATTATCTTTCATCTCGGGTACTCGAGTCCATCCAAGACTTTCACATATGACTCAATAGTCATTGTAATAATGTTGCCATAAATATTAACTTGCGGAATCATTGATAATGAGAGAACTTATCTAAATAAACATTTGGGTCTCTGCATAAACCCATGAGCATAATATCGCTATATTTACATCACACCACCACATCACATGTTTCATATAAA